CCAGTCATGATTCCCCATCTTCCAGTAGGTAGGCTTCACACCCACCAGCTGCCACCATCGCCAGGTTGGTCCCATCAATAGCCAAGACACAGAGACTATAAAAACCAGCTCCAGGAAGTGCGCAGTCGCATTAGTGGCTGCACAACCCCTTTTTATCTCATTTTTCCTTTGGAGAACCCGGCAGGCTACCGAAAGTATCCTGTCCGCACGGCCGAGTCTGACAAACTTCCTGTGTAGTACTCAATATGCCAAATACCAGTGACAATGATGGGTCTCATTCTCCTAACCCTGAAAGAGCATTGAATATGGTTCTTTTAAAATCTCAGGGCTAGGAAGAAGGAGACATTACTGGTGCCTGCTCAAAGCAATTGACGAACAACAGGATGATCGTGATCCTGATCGTGAATTATATTGGACTGAATCAACAGAATAGTGGATAAGGTGTTTGTGTGCACACAGTCAAACCAAGGTTGATCACTGATACTACAAGCCCTGCCAGGAATTATCCCAAATGAAGAGCCAAGGGTAAGCCCTGAATACCACCAGGTATAGCCCAAGGACAAATAAACAAATAAATAACATTACTAAGCCTGGCAAGCTACCGAGAGTATTCGATATGCCAGACACAGTAACAATAAAGTCTCCAATGGAGACGTTACTGGGCCCGCTCGAGCAAATCGACGATCAACGGGAGGGCCTTTACCTTTACCTTACCTTACTAAGTATAAGGTTAAGTATTAGTTACAAATACAAAGCATTTTTGGCCTCCAGAGGGTCTTTCTAATTTCCCAATGTAGGTTGGTACTCACTGGGACTCCCTCTGGGATAAGTTATGGGGGTTATCATTTCTATTTCTAAAGGAAATTTGCTGGAAAGACTAAAAGATCTTTTGCTAAAATAGCCACCAACTTCGGGGATGGAAAGACAGGATAGCAGGTAAGACTCTTGCTTGCATGTGCTCAACCTGGACCCAATTAACTCAGGCTGCTCTGTCTCTGGCCCCATCTATGAAGAATTTTCTTTTTTTCCTATGATGGTGATTTATTTTATATATTTTTGAAGAATTTCTTGCATTAGATATTTTTCTCAAATTCCATTAATAAATGGTATTTGATGAGTAGTGAAAAAGAAATAAATCTCCATTAGACTTATGTAAGTAGAAAACCAAAGAGCAAGGAGGCAAAAAGAAAGCTGATATAATAGTAGTGACTTGGTCTGTCTTGTTGCTTGCTCAGTTCTTGGAAAGTAGCTAAGGCATTGCTTCTTAATTAATATAAAATGAATAAATATAAAATGAAGAGGGGCAAAGATAGAGGCCATGTCTCAAATCTCCCCACCTAAATCCATAGCCTTTCATATGTGCTACATTTTCAGAAAGATCCCTTCCCTCATCTTCTCAACATTCCATTTTATTTATTTGTTTTTTTTATGGAATCATTGTGAGATACACAGTTGCAAAGTTTTCCATGATTGGGTTTTAGTCATACAATCTTCCAACACCCATCCTTTCACCAAGTGTATATTTCCCACCTCCAATATCCCCAGTTTCCCTCCTGCCATACCTCTCCAAGCCTATGGCAGACACTTCCAACCTTCCTTCTCTCTTTCTCTTTTTCATAAGAGGAATTTTCTTAAGCATCTACTAGGTCCACCATTAATTCAGATGCATTTTCAACAAAAAGATGAAATTGAAATAGAATTTCCTACAATCAAGAGAGTTTTCCTCCTAAGTATGAATAAAAGATAACACACTATGAGTAAAAAATTACAACTTCTATCTAGGGTCAAATGGATTAAAATGGTCTTACTATTGTGGAAAGACACATTTTCCAAGCCAGCTAAGATAATAAAGCCCTTGTTGTTCTTGCAGATTAAGCCACAAAGATGTACCAAATTTGTTGGCCCATTTCCATGGGAAGCAGAATATTTTGTAAGCTTCCTAAGTCACTGAAAAGTCTATGGCTGCTGCTCCTAGTAGTTATACTTTATAACACACAAACATTTGAATTAGTGAATACTGAACAAGTGTTGTTAAAGGAACAGTAGGACTTGATTCCTACAAATCTCTAGACACCTTTTTTTCTAGTTTATCAATACATACCTTGTTGTTTTTAATATTTCTGTTTAAATATGACTTAGGACCAGAGAGATAGTATCACAGGTAAAGCACTTACCTTGCACATGTCCAAACCAGATTCATTCCACAGCACCACACCCTGAGCCCAACCAGGAGTGCTTTCTGGGCACAGACCAAGGAACAATCCCTAAGCACTGCTGTGTGTGGCCCCAAAACAAAAATAAATATGACTTACTTGATATGCATTATTTGTTGCAGGTGAGTGAGTTGATTTCCATCTAAAACACAGTTCCCCATGTGGTTGGCAAATTACGTTGCAGGTGACCTGACTCCTAGTTCTTTGTCAAGTATTGAAGGTGACTTAGATGAAGTGGGGAACAAGAAAAGTAACCTCAAGAAAAAAAGTGCTTTCACCTTTCTGCTCCAGTCTCTCAGACACCAAGGAAATGGTATAGCATAGGACTGGTCAAGTCAATGACCAGCACCAGAGACACAGTTTGGATGCCATCAAACTGCACCTGGTGTTCTTTGTTCTGCACAGTGCAGGAACTGCTTCCCATTGCTTGAGTTCTCAGAGACTTTGAACTCAGGCTGGAGCAAGGAATTGTTCTTTGCAGGAAAGGAAAGTCACCTCAGCACAGACCTTCCAGGGACATCACCTTCTTCTGCAGAAAAGAATTTTAGGAAGAGATGAAATATTGAAATAAAATAGATTTTTTATAAACATACTTATATAAATGTTGGGGGAAATAAAAATATGGTCAAGAGAACACAAGATTCATCAAAGGAGGAAAAGCCAAGAGCACACATCTCTGATTAAGATGTGAGTTGGTCTCCAAGATGAAGAATGAGCCATAAAGTAAATTGCCACTCAATGCCTCTTTTGCAAACCACAACACCCAAAAGGAGAGAGAGAACAAAAGGGAATGTCCTGCCACAGAGTCAGGATGGAATTGGGGGGTTGGGGGGTGAGAGGGATACTGGGACCCGTGGTGGTGGAAAATGGGCACTGGTGGAGGGATGGGTACTTGATCATTGTGTAACTGAAACCCAAGCACAAAAATTTGTAAGTCTACAACTGTACTTCATGGTGTTTCACTAATAAAAATTTTAAAAAAATAAAGTAAAATCAAGGAATTACATACTTCACATTGAGATGTGGCCAATCTCCAGAGCAGAGAATGAGCCCGCCTGTCCTTAGAGAGTTGATTTACAGTTGGCTTTCTTCCCAACTGCCTTGGCCTGAAGTTCTCTGCATACTGAAAAGTTCATCTCTGTGTTGTCACAGGGAACTACCTTGAATTCTTAATGATCCTTTGCAACCTTTTAGAACCTTTAGATTCTCTCAGTCTGTACCCTGCAGTTCCCCATTGTCCTATCCTGAATTTCCTACTTTATAGCCATGGCCCTGTGGTCAGTGAGACTCCTGTACTCAGTACCGTGTCTGAGCACCCAGGCCCTGCCTGAATCTACCGTGTGTCTGAGCACATGCAAGCCCTACCTGATTCTGAAGCCAACATGGGTATATGCAGAGAGAAAGAAAGAGAGAGAGAGAGAGAGAGAGAGAGAGAGAGAGAGAGAAGGAGTGAGAGAGAGGGAGTGGGAGAGGGAGGGAAAAGAGAGAAAGGAAGAAGTGAGGGAGGAAGATAGAGAGAGAAAGAGTGAATGGATGCAGAAGGGAATGGGAAAAAGAGGGAGAGGGGAAGAAGAGAGAGGAAGAGGAAGGGAGAAAGAGAGGAGGGAGTGAGGGAGGGATATAGAGAGTGAAAGGGAAGGAGTGGGAGAGGGAGAGGGAGAGGGGAAGAGAGAGAGGTGGCGGGGCTAAGGGTGGGAGGGACACCTACTTAGGGACTTCCTTTTACCTGTTGCCAGATACCAGCCCAGATAATACCAGATAATCAAATATCTATTTTGATTGGATACCTTCTATGTGGGTGAGATTTTTTTTTCATGAAAATAAAGTCTTTATTTTCAGTTATTACCCACCAAGAAGAGAAAGTTAGGTTCACAGTTTTAGCTCTTGACACAAAAGTGAACTAGGAGGCAAATTCACATCCATCAGATACAACTAATGGACCAACTTTTTAAACTTTAGGCTATCTTGAAAGCTTGCAACATACCAGATATTGCTATGTATTCTCTAGTGACGAGAGGCCAGCAATGGCCGGCTGCAGAACTTGTGAAGCACTTTTAGAAGCAGGTGTTTTCTCTATGTTGCTAGAAACCAAGATGTTTATCAACATGGTACGTGTCCAGAAACAAGTAAAGATACTTGAAAGTCTCAACACACTTATGGGAGCGTGTATGTTGCAATCTCAAGAGGGGTCACTAGTCGATTCACAAGGACTAGACTAATACTTGCCTCTGGGTAGTAGATATGTAAATATAAAACTATACCGGACATTAACACCAGTGCAGAACACACTCAGCATCATAAGATCCAAAACACCAGCACAAAAGCTTATCCATCATTAAAATCCAATTTCCTCCTTCTTAACGTCAAACTAGTAGTTAACTAGATAAAATCCAAATGAATAGATCTTGTAGTATACAATTTCTCTCTTTAATGTATATGGGAGAACTAGCCAACTAAATAAACATTTTATGATTAAAAGATCTTTAATATTTTTAAGACTGGACATTGCTATAGGTAGAAATTGCATGAAAAAAGATCTCCAATATTAAATAAAATTTCCTTTCCTATTTTATCAATACATGTTTCCAAAAATTAAAATAATAATTCTAGAAAATCTATTCAATCATTCCCTCCATGTTTGTTCTAGTGGTGATACTCCCATCACAGGAATCCATTATTAACCTAATTTTCTAACGAAGAGGGAAAACATATTGATTACCACCTGGGGAACAGTCACCTACCAACTTCAGATCCAACTTAATAGCAATGTAGGAAATTCAGAAATAGTAAGATTTTTGGCTTATATTTCATGGATGGTGCTGTTGTTCTAACCTTATAAAGTAAAGCTGTCTGCTTTCCAAATTCCCAAAACTAAAATACACCCCATTATCACCATATTAACCAGTGCCCTTTGGTTTCTTTAGAACAAGGAATGGTAAAGGGTTGTTGGTTATGGATGCACATTTTTGATTTAGGACCTTTTACACACACATAAATCATACTGAAGTGGCCAGACACTTTACAGTTTACACATTAGCCAGATCAATGTGTGGCACCTACCCTGTCAGAGGGGGAAAACCCAACACCAGTAAAATTAAATCACCTCTATAAAGTAACAAAGTATGAGATTAATACCCAAGAATAGCTGAGATCAGCACCAGGACGATTACTCCATAACTTAGAGGCCAGCGGGTATCCTAGAGGAAAGGGCAGTTCAGATAGAGAAGGGAGCACTAAATAAAGGATGTTTGGAGGATCCTCCCAGGAGGGGAGATTCATGTCGAAAGTAGACTATGTACTGAACATGTTTGCCACTCAATGCCTCTTTTGCAGACCACAACACCCAAAAGGAGAGAGAGAACACAGGGGATTGCCCTGCCACAGAGACAGGGGGGATGGGGGGATGGGGGTGGGAGGGATATTATCCATGGTGGTGGAAAATGGGCACTGGTGGAGGGATGGGTATCTGATCATTGTATAATTGAAACCAAAGCACAAAAAATTGTAAATCTACAACTGTAAAAAACAATAAAATAAAATAAAGGGGAAAAAAATAAAATAAAAGGAAAAGGAATGCAGAATCAAAGTGTATAATAAAAATTAATATCCTGAGAATAAATGTTCTTTCAAGAATAAAAATAAAGAAAAAACAAAAAAAAACAAAAACAAAAAAAAATTAAATCACCTCACAGGATGTTATCTACAAACAGTAAGTAACTTAAACAACTTTCACCAGTAAGGTATCAGTTTGGAGTTTAAAATGGTAAAATCACTTACTATATACATATATATATATATATAGTTGAAATTGTGGATCAATTATAATTTGAGTCTAATGAACCATGCAGGAAGAGCAAGGGTTAATAAACCAATGTGCTTTGAATTTGTTCAAATACTAATAATTTCTGTATATAAAGATTTAGCATATATAACAGCTATCATGAGAAGTGAAAAAGATTTTCCCCAGAAATGAAAATATTAAAACTAAGTTAAAATACAGTTAGTATTTCACACAGCATAAAATTTGACAAATCAAAGTTTACATGTCCCATTGACCATGTGTGAAAATGCAAAGCAGGTATTAAAACTGATACTATGTCCAATATTTAAAACCAGTTTGTAATTGGGAGAACACCTAAATCCTTAATTAAAAAACACAAATGAAGTGAAAGCTTTAAACTGGTACACATTGTTCACACCTATATTTCAAGTTTGGAAATGCATATTTGCAAGCAGCAATACAAAACTTTTCATGAAGAATGCATAATCTCTGAAAATTATGAAAACATCCCTGCTACCAATACATTTCTAAATACAAAACTGACCACCATATTGTTACTGCTGTGTAGCGAGAGAAGTTCATTTTCAAAACAGATAAAATTCAGTCTTTAGGTGTGAATGGTATGAATGACAGTCTTTTTTTTTTAATTTCTTAGTCGTTTGGGATCCTTAAGCATGCAAAACCTCAGACAGGAGGGTCCACAAAGGAACCAGGGTTGTCTTTATGGCAATCCAGTTAAGCCAGAGTTGGGAATGCCTCTGGGTCATCTACATCAGGAGCAGATGTATTTGACTTGTCAGTTCTGCTACCACGATTTGGACGCCCATGGCGATGACGGCCTCCTCTTCCTCCCCTGCCACCACGTCCTGGGCGGCCAAAGTCTCCAAAATTGATCTCCAGCTGAGATGTTATATCATTGGCTGGCTTCCAGAAATGATGGTCCATAACCGAATCTTCAGCATGAGCCTCTTCACTCTTTGACTTATGAAGAACAAATCCCTTCTTCCACTGCCCATGAGCACCTTCAATTGGTTTTCGAATATTAAATTCTACTTTTGCACGGCCCTTATTCTGAATTGCCTTCCATTCATCCAAAGTCATCTCTTTTGGACCCTCTTCCTTTACTTCTTCAACTTCGTTCTTCTTATTTTCAGTGTCTGCCTATGTGGGTGAGATTTGAAATTCTAACTACTTCACCTGGGACTCCACCCTTCTCTCCAGCTGTAACAGCACTAACTAGGAAGAGGACACCTGTTTAAGGCAGAGACAGGAGATGAACTTGGTTTGGAAAAAGTCCATTTTTCTTCAATCCACATACATTTAGGTTGCAAGCAGATAGAGGGAAGGGTGCTGGTAATGAGCTCTTGATAATAATAAAGCTTATTATTTTATTATAAAAAATTTAATTGCCCAGACCTAAAGTCACCTAATGGCATAAATAACATATCCTTTTGAGTTGAAAATCCTGAGAACTTTGGAGATGGAGAAGCTTAGGTCCCACCAGAGAATGGCACATATTTCAGAAAAGGAGAAGCTATGGAGATAAGGAGAAAATGAGATATAGTGATAAGAACATCACAGGACCATCAAAAGTTCAAGGCTTTTGAGAATGCCCAGATTAACTTTCATATATGCAGAGAACTCCAGACAAAGACCAGGTGGAAAAAAAACAGACTTCTCCCGAAAGACATTCTATGCTCTCTGGAGAAGCTGTGTTCACTCCAGAAACACCACGGTCTTTCTCTTTCTCCTCACATCTCTCTAAATTTTTCTTCCAAGAAAAACTATTTTGTTTCCTCCTGCAGTTCTTTTCCTTGAGGGAAGGTGAGGGTCCTGGGAAGCCTGGATCAGATCTAGGACTAACTTTCCTGCAGAGTAACGCCTTGCTCCAGTCTGGTTCCAAGACTCCTTGGGAAGTAAGTTGCCCAGGACCATTTTCCACACCAGCAGAACAAGTGACTGAAGTGGGCAGAAGGGGAAGCTATGACCCCTTTTCTGAGGCTTCACTTAAGCCAGGGAGCCCACTCTCCTGTTGAGAGTCACCTCTCCCACCAGCAACACCAGTCAATAGATCAGTTACTAGGAAGCTCTTCTGGTTGGAGTAACTTGGCGGTGTGAGGAGGGGAAACTGGTTATCAGTGATACTTGCATTAGTGCTCTGGGCTGTTCCTTGAACTTCTTTGGTTGTGCCTTCACGTACAGAAAAAAAAACTGCCCTTGTCAGAGAAGTGGACCATTTTTTAATATGGAACTCTTGATTCTTTTGATCTGGAAAAATAAAAACTAGAGAACTGCCATAGAGTTTCCTATGTTAAAATCAAGGCCTGATTCCCTGTGTGCACTTTTTCCTCATTTTTGTTATTAAATCCACTTGAGAGTTAAAGATAAGTCTTGTTCAAATGAATCCTTCAAGGAGACCTCTTAGTGTTAGCAGGGCAGTCCAAATCTGAAAAAAACTTAAGGAGAATTGAGCTTTTGGCATTGTCTTATGTGGGAATATGGTAGAAAATATGTTCTGTTGAACTCAATAAAATATTCGTGTATTATTATGGGCAAATACACTGGGAGGAAAGCTAACTGCTTCACATTTATTGTATTATCTAAGGTTTGCAGTAGCTCAGAGAGGTAAGGCGATGAGGAATGTTGCCCCAAGGGTTTACCCCTGATTACTTTTAACTGAAAGACATTTAGAGATAAAAGACCTAAGTATGATTTTTGCCCAAATATCTACTTGCTTTCATCAGAAACTGAGTCCCCATGGTTGTTTGGGCAGAGAGAGAGAGACTGTCTTTTACTGCAGACTCTGGTTTCCAAGTCTTATTTTGAAACATATATAAGAGTGAAGTATGCTTCTACTTCTCCCTTCCCTCTCCTTTTCCTCCTCCTCCTATTAACAAGAGAGGATACATTTATGTATTATTTTGGTTTGGTTGCTTTTTTGGTTTGTTTTGGGGGCACACTCAGGGATGCTTAGTGGTTAACCCTGGCTCTGCTCTCAGGAATCACTCCTCCTGCTTCAGGGGATCATATGTGATGCCAGAGATCAAACCCAGGTCAACCACCTTCAGGGCAAGCACCTTACTTGCTGGACTGTTGCTCAACTCATTGTTTATGAGTATGAAGGGTAACCAATACTATAGAATGCCCACCACCCACCCAAATACCAATATACTCCACCACAAACCAATGGACCCTTCAATCCACTTCCCCTCACATGCTGATAATAATATTTCTACTGATAAGAGTCTGAGGGCTGTATACATCTCTGCACATTCTCTGTTCCCTTGCTTTGTTTTATAAAATTTGCCTTTCTATTTCTGACTCAGCTTCAAATGCTACCCTTCAGTTCCATCCACGTGGTGGCAAAGGCAAGAGAATTTAAACTTTTCTTAGATGAGAGTAAGATTCTATTGTGTATACACATTTTCTTTATTGTCACATATTGGGGCATGTGGATGTTCCATAACCGTATTGTAAAGAACTCAGTGAACACAGGTGTGCACATAATGTATCTTAAATTGAATCAGGTAAATTTTTTTCTTTTTTTTAATAGATACACCTGGAGATACAATACTACCAATTTTACGCTTGGAATAATGGTTCTCAGGGCCACCAGAGAAGTACTCATCTGTGCTGGGGGCCACAAGAGATTCAATATGTGTGTTTGGAGGCCACGTGGAGCCTGGGATTGAAATCAGGGTCTTGCACATGCCAGGCATATGTTTCCTACTTCAGCTATTTCCCTTCTTCAAGGCAGAGAATCTTTCTTTAAAAAATTGAGTCATGCATCTCCCCTCAATCATATGATCATCTACTCTTTGATAAAGGTGCAAGAAATGTGAAGTGGAGTAAGGAAAGCCTCTTTAACAAATTGTGCTGGCATCACTGGACGGCTACATGCAAAAAAATGGGCTCAGAACTCTGCCTAACACCATGTACAAAGGTAAGATCAAAATGGATTAAAGACCTCAACATCAGACCAGAAACCATAAGGTACATTGCAGACAAAGTTGGTAAAACCCTCCATGACATTGAAGCTAATGGTATCTTCAAAGATGCCACGCCACTGGCCGAGCAAGTGAAAACAGAGATAGATAAATGGGACTATCTTAAACTAAGAAGCTTCTGCACCTCAAAAAAAACAGTGACCAAAATACAATGACAGTCTACAGAATGGGAAAGTATATTCGCCGAATACACATCTGACAAGGGGTTGATATCAAAGATATACAAAATACTGGTTGAACTCCACAAGAAGAAAACATCCAACCCCATCAAAAAATGGGGCAACGAAATGAACAGAAACTTTCTCAAAGAAGAAATCCAAATGGCAAAAAAGCACATGAGAAAATGTTCTACATCATTAATTATCAGGGAGATGCAGATCAAAACCACAATGAGATACCATCTCACACCTCAGAGACTGGCCCACATTCAAAAGAACAAAAGCAACCGATGCTGGCGCAGATGTGGTGAGAAAGGGACACTCCTTCACTGTTGGTGGGAATGTCGACTGGTTCAGCCTTTCTGGAAAACTGTATGGACGATTCTCAAAAAATTAGAAATTGAGCTCCCATTTGACACAGCAATACCACTCCTGGGAATATATCCCAGAGAGGCAAAAATGTATAGTCGAAGTGATATCTGCACTTGTTTGTTCATTGCAGCACACTTTACAATAGCCAGAACCTGGAAGAAACCTGAATGCCCAAGAACAGATGACTGGTTAAAGAAACTTTGGTACATCTACACAATGGAGTACTATGTAGCTGTTAGAAAAGATGAAGTCATGAAATTTATATACAAGTGGTACAACATGGAAAGTATCATGCTAAGCAAAATGAGTCAGGAAGAGAGGGATAGACATAGAAAGATTGCATTCATCTGGGGAATATAAAGAAACAAAATATGAGATTAATACCCAAGAATAGCTGAGATCAACACCAGGAGGATTACTCCATAGCTTAGAGGCCAGCCAGGCATTCTAGGGGAAAGGGCAGCTCAGTTAGAGAAGGGAGCACCAAATAAAGGGTGTTTGGAGGATCCTCCCAGGAGGGGAGATGCATGTTGAAAGTAGACTATGAACTGAACATGTTTGCCACTCAAAGCCTCTTTTGCAGACCACAACACTCAAAAGGAGAGAGATAACACAAGGGATTGCCCTGCCACAGAGGCAGGGTGAGATGGAAGGGATGGGGGTGGGAGGGATATTATCCATGGTGGTGGAAAATGGGCACTGGTGGAGGGATGGGTATTTGATCATTGTATAATCGAAACCCAAGCACAAAAAATTGTAAATCTACAACTGTACCTCATGGTGTTTCACTAAAAATAAAAAATAAATTTAAAAAAATATATATTTCCATAGAAGAAAAAAAAATTGAGTCATGGAATCTCTCCCAAGTCTGGAGAAGGATTGGATGGACGCTTCAAATGCCAGGCACTTCTATGAGAAGTCTGAGGATAATAAGACCACCTCCAGCTCACTGTGCACTGTGCTTATTCATATTAGCCAACTTTGGGGAACCCTGATATGACAGATAAAATATTGATTCACTTATTAATATAAGTAACCAACTCTGCTGTTAGCCAATCCCCAGAACCTTCAGAAAATGATTAGGCACCCCAAATGAGAGTCCTATCATTTTGTATTTATGCAAAATAACTAAATTTATTAAGAATGAAGCTGGTGGGCCCCCACGATGGCTTATGAGAGGCAGGAGAGAGTTATTCACTTTCTCCAGAGCCATGTCTTCCATCCAGGATCATCTGGGAAGGCTAAGACTGGTAAAGTCTGCAACGAAACCCCCCTGAGCAATATGGGCCAGAGCCCCGCTAGCCCCACCAGATAGCCATCAAGTCACACCTGACATCAGTTTGGCTTTATGGGCATGGTAGTCAATCCCTCTACCCTGTTTGGGGAAGCCACAGACACAGGCTAGAGCCAGGAATTGTTCTTTGCAGGGAAGAAAAGTAGGTCCTGCGCCTCACCCAGGGTTTCCAAGTCTTTGTCTTTCTCACAGAAAGGAATTTCAGGAGTAGATAAACAGTGAAAAAAAAACACACAGAAAAACAGATTTTATTTGGAGACTTTTAGGAAGGGGAAGTTTGGAGAGCAAAGGAGAGAGAATAATGCACTCAAAATTAGAATGCAGG